GGGGGGGGGGAGACGCGCGCTCGCTCAGGCGGCGATCTCGTCGTCGCCGCCGCCGGCCTCCGCGCCGGCGCTGTCGACGACGACGAGGAGGTCGCCCGGCTGGACGTCGTCGCCGTCGGCGACGGCGACGGACTTGACGACGCCCGCGACGGCGGACGACACGACGGTCTCCATCTTCATGGCCGACAGCACGACGAGCGGCTCTCCCACGGCGACGGCCGCGCCCGGCGCGACCTTGACGTCGACGACGACGCCCGGCATGGGCGCGCCGACGGAGCCGAGGTCGCCGGGGCTCGCCTTGGGCCGGACGACGACGTCCGCGGACGCGGACGTGTCGACGCGCGTCACGGACCGCGGGAAACCGTTGACCTCGAAGAAGCACTCGCGCGTGCCCTTCTTCTCGTCGAGGTCGCCCATGCCCGTGAGCTTGACGTTGACCGTCACGCCCTGGCCGAAGCTCAGCTCGAGCTCCTCGCCGACGTCGAGCGGCTCGACGAACGCGCGCGTCGGCAGGTTCGACAGGTCGCCGAACTCCCGCGTCGTGGCCATGAAGTCGTCGAAGACCTGGGGGTACATGACCGCGGACATGAGCTGCCGGTCGTCGACGGCGACGCCGTGCTTCTCCTCGAGCTCCGCGCGGACCTTCTCCAAATCCACGGCCGGGAGCTGCGCGCCGGGCCGCCCCGCGAAGGTCTCGTCGGTCTTGCCCGCGCCCGCGAGCACGTGCGTGCGCAGCGGCTCCGGGAAGCCGCCGTAGGGGATGCCCAGCGCGCCCTGGAAGAACTCGACGACGCTCGAGGGGAAGTTGAGCGACTCCGCGCGGTCCCGCACGTCGGCTTTCGTCAAACCGTTCGTGACCATGAACTGCGCCAAATCGCCGCAGGTCTTCGACGACGGCGTCACCTTGACGATGTCGCCGAGGAGCTCGTTGGCGTCGGCGTAGGCGGCCTTGACCTGGGGCCACTTCTCGCTCAGGCCCATCTGCGTCGCCTGGAAGAGCATGTTCGTGTACTGGCCGCCCGGGATCTCGTGGTCGTAGACCTCCGCGGAGCCGCTCTTCTGGCCGCTCTCGAAGGCCGCGTAGGACACGCGCGTCGACTCCCAGTAGTCGATGAGGGGCGCCAGCTCCTTGAGGTCCACGCCCGTGTCGAGGTACGAGCCTTTCAGGGACGCGACGACCGCGCCCATGGACGGCTGCGACGTGAGCCCGGACATGGAATCCACGGCGACGTCGACGGCGTCCGCGCCGTTCTTCGCCGCGGCGAGCATGGCGGCGACGCCCGTGCCCGCCGTGTCGTGCGTGTGCACGTGGATGGGCAGGTCCGGGAACTCCAAGCGCAGCGCGTGCACGAGCGTCGACGCGGCCGCCGGCGTCAACAACCCCGCCATGTCCTTGATGGCCAGCACGTGGATGCCCTTGGCCTTGAGCTCCGTCGCCAGATTCAGGTAGTAGTCCAAATTGTACTTGGAGTCCGGGTCCGTGACGTCGCCCGAGTAGGAGATCGCCGCCTCGACGACGCCGCCGGCCGCGCCGACGGCGTCGATGCCGAGCCGCAGGTTCTCGACGTAGTTGAGCGAGTCGAAGACTCGAAAGACGTCCATGCCGCTCTTGACGGCGACGTCGCAGAACTTGAAGACCGCGTTGTCCGGGTACGACGTGTAGCCGACGCCGTTCGCGCCGCGGAGGAGCATCTGGAAGGGCACGTTCGGGATCTTCTCCCGCAATTCCTCGAGGCGCGCCCAGGGGCACTCGTGGAGGAAGCGCAAAGCGACGTCGAAGGTCGCGCCGCCCCAGGTCTCCAGCGAGTAGCAGTTGTGGAGCGCGTGCGCCGCGTAGGGCGCCGCCGCGACGAGGTCCTTGGTCCGCGCGCGCGTCGCGAGGAGCGACTGGTGCGCGTCGCGCATCGTCGTGTCCGTGAGCAGCAGCCCCTTGTGCTGGCGCACGGCCCGGGCGAAGCCCTCGGGCCCCTCGGCCTCGAGCACCTGCTTGAGGCCGATGCGCGGCTTCAGGGGCACGGCCGGCGGCAGGACCTGCGCGTAGCGCGGCGTCGGCGGGCCCGCGGCGCCGACGGCGCGCCGCCCGTTGACCGCGAGCTCCGCGAGGTACTCGAGCAGCTTCGACGCGCGGTCGCCGCCGGCCTTGAACTGGAAGAGCTCCGGGTTGTCGCCGATGAAGGACGTCGTCGCCGCGCCCGCGCGGAAGTCCGGGTGCTTGAGCACGTTGAGCATGAAGCCGATGTTCGTCTTCACGCCGCGGATCCGCGTTTCCCGCAACGCGCGCGACAATTTGACGATGGCGCCCTCGTAGGTCAGCGCGGAGCCCGTGACCTTCATGAGCAGGGAGTCGTAGTGGGGCGAGATGACGGCGCCCGTGAACGAGTTGCCCCCGTCGAGGCGAATCCCGAACCCCTCCGCGGGGCGCCACACCTGGAGCCGGCCGACGTCGGGCCGGAAGTCGGCCTCGGGGTCTTCCGTGGTCACGCGGCTCTGGATCGCGTAGCCCCGGACCTGGACGTCGTCCTGGTCCGCGAGGCCGATCTCGGCGAGCGTCTTGCCCGCCGTCACCATGATCTGCGACTGCACCAAATCGACGCCCGTGACGACCTCCGTCACCGTGTGCTCGACCTGGATCCGCGGGTTCACCTCGATGAAGTAGTGCTTCCACGTCGCCGGGTCCACGAGGAACTCCACCGTGCCCGCGCAGCCTGTGTGGAAATCAACCAGTGAGCTGGGACGTCGGGGCCAAACTTCAGAATTCTCTAGCTCGGTCAAATCGAAGTCGATTCGGCTGATTTTTGGACGAATTGATTGCTCTCAGCGAGTTCTCGAAGCACGGCGGAAGTGCTCGTGTCGAAACATTCGAATACGCGCACATTGAAGTCGGGTTGAAGATTTGATTTCCACACAGCGCGCAGCGGTAGCCCGCGGCGGACGTGAGGCGCACGGCGTCGGCCAGCAGCGCCGCCCGCAGGTCGTCGGGCAGGCCGACGGACGGCGCGATCTCGACGACCTTCTGGAAGCGGCGCTGCACGGAGCAGTCGCGGTCGTAGAGGTGCACCGTCGACTCGCCGTCGCTGAGGATCTGCACCTCGACGTGGCGCGGCGAGTCCACGTAGCGCTCGACGAAGACCGCGGCGTTGCCGAAGGCGGACAACGCCTCCGACTGCGCGCGCGCCAAATTTTCCTCGAGCTCGGACGCGTCGCGGACGACGCGCATGCCGCGGCCGCCGCCGCCGTGGGCCGCCTTGACGATGACGGGGTAGCCCACGGGGTCGTCGCCGCCCTCGACGAACGCGCGGACCTCCTCGAGCGTGTTGCACTCGCCCGGCGTGCCGGGGACGACGGGCACGCCGGTGTCGACCGCGAGCTGCCGCGCGAGGGTCTTGTCGCCGAACTTGTTGAGCACGGACGACTCGGGCCCGACGAAGGCGATGCCGTTGGCCTCGCAGAGCCGCGCGAAGTGCACGTTCTCGCTCAAGAAGCCGTAGCCGGGGTGGATCGCGTCGACCCCGTTCGCGAGCGCGACGTCCACGATCTCCTCGTAGCCGAGGTAGGCGCCCACGGGCGACGCCTCCTTGCCCACCAGATAAGCCTCGTCGGCCTTGTAGCGGTGCATGGACTTCATGTCCTCCTTGCTGTAGATGGCGACCGTGCGGATGTCCAATTCCGTCGCCGCGCGGAAGATGCGGATCGCGATCTCGCCGCGGTTCGCCGCCATGAGCTTGCGGATGGGCCGCCGCGGCGCGAGGGCGAAGGCGCGCGTCGCGGGTCGCGCGGCGCCGGGGCGCCGGAGGCCGCCCCGGGCGGCGCGCAGCATACGGTGCATGGGACTAGACCTCGACGTTGCTTCGGTGCGTCGCGCGACGTCGGGTGTTCGGGTGGTAGCTCGGGAGCGGGAGGCGGCTGTCGAGCGATGGCCTCAGACCCCCGGTGCGTCGACGAGGCTGCGCAGATCCGCAATTGACTTTGCGGGCGACGAGAACAGCCGATTCTGCGATTGGCAGGCGCTGCGGGCGCGCCGACGATGCCCTTCAAGTGCCGTGTCCTTGCCACAGGCGATGGACGCGGCGCCTGATCTTGAGCAGCTACAGTGATGGCCTCGTCCTACGCCGACGCCGCCGCGTGCCTCGCCAAGGTAGAAAAGGGCTCGCGGAGCCTCAAGTCGGCGGCCTACGAGTCGCGCGACCCCAAAAAGACCTACGCGCTCTGCGCCGAGGCCCTGAAGGTGCGCGCGTCGCTGCGCGCGGCCATCGCGGCGACGGACCTGCGGGACGCCCTGGGCAAGCACGACGGGCGCGTCCTCCTGCTGGCCTGCTACGACGCCCTGGCCGGCCGGGGCCTGCCGAAGCGCGCGGGCGGCAAACTGCTCCGGGGCGTCAAGGAGCGGCTGCCGGCCCTCAAAGCCGCCTTCGAGGCCCACGTCGCCACGCAGGCGCCCGCCGCGCCGAAGCCGCCGGCGCGGGCCGTGCGCTACGCGCGCGTGAACCCGCTGCGAGGCGCGACGAAGGCAAGCGTGCGCGCGGCGCTCGGCGACGTCGGCGCAACGTTAACGGACGACGCGCACCTCGACGAGGTGCTGGCCTTCCCCGGCGCGCTGGCGAGCACGCTCCACGGGGGGCACGCCCTCGTGGCGTCGGGCCAGATCATCCTCCAGGACAAGGCGTCCTGCTTCCCCGCGAAGGCGCTGTTGGGGGATTTGCCGCCGTCGTGGCGCGGCGACGTGCTCGACGCGTGCGCGGCGCCGGGCAACAAGACGACGCACGCCGCGGCGTTGTTGGGAGACCGGGGCGCGGTCCACGCCTTCGATCGAGACGCGCGGCGTTTGGAGATCTTGGCGCGCCGCGCGGCGGAGGCCGGCGCGGCCGTCGAAGCGTCGAACGCGGACTTCCTCGCGGCGACGGTCGCGACGTTCCCCGCGGCGTCCAAGATCCGCGCCGTGCTCCTGGACCCGTCCTGCTCCGGCAGCGGCATGGACGGCGTCGAGCGGAACGTCATGCGCGACGACGCGGACGCGGCGCGCGTCGCGAACGGGGCAGCACAAGAGAGCGAAATTCCCAACTTTAAAGGCTCCGATCTCGGCCATTTTCCACTCGTTTCGGCTGATTTTTGGACGAGCGATCATCTCTCGGAACGGTCTCGAAGCGTGGATGCTTTTTCCGGAACGCGCGCGCGCGGAACACTCACGTTGAAGCGACGTTGAATCACTCTTGTGCAGGTCGCGAAGCTCGCGGCGTTCCAAACGGAAGCGCTCGCGCACGCGCTCGCGGCCTTCCCCAACGCGGAGCGCGTCGCCTACTCGACGTGCTCCGTCCACGACGCGGAGAACGAGGCCGTCGTCGCCGCGGCGCTCGCGGCGGCCCCGGGCTGGCGCCTCCGCGCCGCGCTCCCGGCCTGGCCGCGCCGCGGCCGCGCGGCCGCGGGCCTCGGCGCGGACGACGCCGCCAAGCTCGTGCGCACGGACCCGGCCGCGGACGACACCATCGGCTTCTTCCTCGCGCTCTTCGAGCGCGGCGCGCCGAAGCGGGCCCGCGACGCCGGCGACGGCGACGCGCCGTCCGCGCGCAACGCGCGGCGCAAGGCCAAGCGCCGCAAGAAGAAGCAGGCGGCCTTCGCCGCGGGCCGGCCGGGGGAAGGCGCGTCGTAATGGTTCTAGCGAACGAGGACTGGTGGTAGCCGCGGGTCGGGGAGGCCGGGCGCGCGGCCGAGGCGTCCGACGACGAGGGCGGCGCGCTAGTCGTGGGGCTCGACGACGTAGTCGATGCTCGGGAGGCTGGGGTCGCCGCGGTAGAAGTACTTCTCCCAGTCCGGGTCGCAGAGGCGGACCCAGCCCGAGCCCGCGGCCCCCCGGGGCACCCCGCGCTGCTCCGCGACCGCGCGGCGCTGCTCCGCGCCGTCGCCGCCGGGAGCGCAGGGCGGCACCTCGTCGAGGGGCGGCCAGGGCTCCACCTTGTCGGGCGGCAGCCTGGCGTCGATCGCCGCCTGCGCCGCGGCGACGCGCGCGGCGACGCGGTCGCGCGCCGCGCCCTCGCCGGCGCGCGCGTAGAACTCGCGCGCGTCGAGGAGCTCGACCGCGTCGGGGCCGCCGAGGACGGGCATGAGCATCGTGCCCACCTCGCCCGGGCCGGCGAACTGGCACTTGCCGCCGAGGCCCTTCCATTGCGCGCGGAAGAGGAGCGACAGCAGGCAGGACCGCATGTACCGGTCGTGGGCCTCGCGCTTCCCCAGGGGTTCGCCCGCGGTCTCGGCGAACATGTCGTAGAGGGGATCGAGCGCGGCCTGGAGCTCGTTCACGCCGAGATCCGCGCCGACGTTCGCCGCGCACCTTGCGATGGAGAAGGCGCCCATCTTCGTCGGCGAGAGTTTGTACGCTTCGTGCGAGAGCCCGAGGGCGTCGCGCGCGACGCGCAGGCTCTCGGGGAGCCCCTCGCGGCCCGCGACGGACATGAGCAGCGCCGAGGCCTTGGACGCGAGCAGGTGCGCGCGCGCCTCGGCGTCGGCGCCGGAAACGCCCGGCCCGTAGAACTGGAGCGCGCGGTCGAAGCCCGCGGCGATGTCGTCGACGCTCGCGGACTCCGCCGCGAACGCGGCGACCATCGCCTCGCGGCTGGTGCCGACGCGCTGGAGCGTCTCGGACACTTTGAGGAGCGCGTTTGTCGACTCCGTCTTGAGGCGGTCCGCCTCGTCGCGGTCGGGCGCCGTCTCGCGCGCGAGGTTCGCCGGCTTGAGCGCGAGCGTCTGGCCGCCGCTCGCGTCGAGCCGGACCTTGAGCCGCTCGTTTTGCAGCCCCGTGACCGTGCCGTGCTTGCCGTTGTGCTCCGCGGCGCCCTTGAGGCCGTGGAGCTCGACGCGGGCCCCCATCGAGAAGTCATCGGCTACAGTCACCATGCTTCTTTGAGAGCGCGACGCGATGGAGGATGTAAGGTCGTGTGGCACTTCGGCGGCGCGGTCAGAGACACGAGGAATTGGCGGCGCAAGGAGCGGTTCGAAACTGCTCGCCGAAACCTTGCCGCAGATCTCGATCTGCCGCAGCAGTTCGAGCCGTGAAGGCGGGCCTCTACGATGGGGCCAGCCGCGCGCATAAACCCGACCAGCCCGGTCGCGTCGCGGCCCGCTGCGCCGCGTCCGACGTCCGCGACGCATACGCCACCGAAGCGCCGGCCGCCGCGCTGCGACGCGCTGCGCGTCGTCGGTTTTTTGCTGCTGCTGACGACGCTCTACGGCATCGTCTGCGCCCACGCCGGCGCGCTGCTCCCGGCGCCGCGCGCGTCGCCCAAGGCGGCGCGGCCGGCGCCGGCGGCGCGGGAGCGGCCCGCGCGCGGCGCGGCGGCGCCCGCGCGGCCCGCGGCGCGGCCCGAGCGCGCGCCGCGCTTCGCGGCGCCCGCGGCGCCCGCGGCCGCGCGCGCGCCCGCGGCGCGGCGGTGCCGGAACACGCTCGGCGCGTCGCCGACGGCCGTCGTCGACAGCGCCGGCGGCGTCTGCGCGCCCGGCGGCCTCGACGGCGGCGGCTGCTGCTGCGGCGCGCCGCCGCCGCCGTGCGCCGCGTGCGCCGGTGGCGGCTGCTGCGCGACCTACGAGGCCTGCGTCGCGTGCTGCGTGTCCGACGCCGCCGCGCCGGCCCGGGACCGCGTGCGCCGCGGCGCGACGCACGCCGTGCTCCGAGGCGCGGCGTCCGACTTCGAGCTCTGCCGGTTCCGGTGCCTGACGAACTCGGGCTCCGTGCTCCACCAGAACAGCTACCGCGCCGCGGACCGGTTCTGCTTCGACGCGAACCGCGCGCCGCTCGTCGACGGCATGTCCGTGAACTCGGACGCGGAGACGCGCGCGGCGCTCCTCGCGGGGCAACCCGCTGTGTGCAAATCAAATCTTCAACCCGACTTCAATGTGCGCGTATGCGAATGTTTTGACACGAGCACTTTCGCTGTGCTTCGAGAACTCGACGAGAGCAATCGATCCGTCCATTGCACACAGGCCCCACGGCGCAGCGGCGGACCCGTACGTCGCGCCCCTCGGGCGCGCGGCCGGCACAATCTTCCCCTGCGGGACGGACGCGTGCGCCGCGCCGGAGCAGGACGTCGCCAAGCTCCGCGAGGCCGCGCGCGGGGCGGCCTAAGACCCGTTACTTCGACGGCGCCGCCTTCCAGGCGAAGCCCCGCAGCGCGCCGTCGTCGCCGTCGAGTCGCGCGAGGCCCGCGGCCTCGAGCCCCGCGGCGAGGCACGCCTCGTCCTGCGACCCGAGGGCGCCGGACGCCGCGAAGGCCGCGACGACGGCGCCGGACTCGTCGAAGATCGGCGCGCCGCCCTGGAAGCCGAGGCAAAACGTGCGCCCGCGCGCGAGGGCGAAGTAGCAGTTCAGGAGCGCGAAGAAGGCCGCCGTGCAGGGCCGCTTGCAGGGCGGCAGGCAGGCCGCGGCCGCGCGGAGCGCGAGGACGGCGGGCAGCAGCGCCCACGTCGCGACGGTCGCGCCCGCCCCGAAGCGGAGCAGGTTCAGGCCGTGGGCGACAACGCCCCGGCCCGCGCGCTCCCGCGCGTAGAAGCCCCGGGGCACGAGGCGCGACGGCCTGGCGAAGGCGATGGCGGCCTCGCACTTGTTCGCGATGACCGCGGCGCCGTCGCGCTTCCCGTCCATGTAGACCACCCGCGACGCGCCGGCCGCGTCGACGTAGCCGAAGCAGAGGAGCGCCGTCGCCTTGATCTCGAGGGAGTGGGGGCCGCCGACGGCCAGCACCGTCGCGAGCATCGTGTCGAGCTCCGCGCGGGTCGGGGCTGCCATAATAATATCGTGTCCGAAAATCTGGCTCCCCGTGCTCTGCAATTGCTCTGCTCTTTCGACCCGAGGCCGGATGGCGGTGATGAAGCGTGGACGAAGACGTGGTGGTAGCTCACGACCGCGTTCTAGGATGGCCGGCGACGACGCGAGAAGTATCCGAATCGGTGTTAGGGCTCGTCGAGGAGCGCGGGCGGCAGGACCTTGTAGGGGTTGAGGATGAGGTTCGGGTCCATGGCCCGCTTGAGCTCGGCCATGAGGGCGAGCGCCGGCGGCGGCTTGTTGAGGTGGAGGTAGTCGGTTTTGCACTGGCCGACGCCGTGCTCCGCGCTCACGGAGCCGCCGAGCGCGGCGACGCGCTCGAAGACCCAGGGCTCGAGCGCGGCCCGGAGCGGTTCCCGGTAGCCGAAAAAGTCGCAGACGTTGAGGTGGAGGTTCGCGTCGCCGACGTGGCCGTAGCCCGCGACGTTGATCTCCTCCCCGTCCGGGAAGCCCGCGGCCGCGAGGCGGTCGCGGCACTCGTCGACGAGGCGGTAGAGGTGCGCGTGGGGCAGGCTCACGTCGTACTTGTAGACGAAGCCCGCGGCGGTCATCGAGTCCGAGACGCCCTCGCGGAGCCGCCAGAGCCGCTCCGCCTTGGTGGCGCTCGGCGCGAGGACGCCGTCCGAGACGCAGCCGTCGTCGAACGCGGCCTCGAGGAACCGCTCGAGCTTCGCGCCGTCGTGCGCGCCGTCGCTGCCCGCGCACTCGACGAGGACGCGGAAGCGCGCGGCGCCGCCGGCGAGCGGGTCGTCGAGGTCCCGCTCGCGGTCGAGGACCGCGCGCAGCGCGTTGCCGTCGACGAACTCGATGGCCGACAGCACCTCCGCGAGGTGCCGCCGCGCGAGGGCCAGCGCGCCGCGGACGCCGTCGAAGTCATCGCACGCGAGCCACGCGACGGACACGGCGCTCGGCCGCGGCGGCGCCGCGAGCGCGAGGCGCGTGATGACGCCGAGCGTGCCCTCGGAGCCGATCAATAGCTGCGGCAGCGCGTAGCCCGTGTTGTCCTTGCGGAGCGGCACGGACGCGCAGTCGACGACCGTGCCGTCGGCCTTGACGAACTCGACGCCGACGCACGACCCGCGGAGGGAACCGTAGCGCACGAAGCGCACGCCGCCCGCGTTCGTCGCGAGGTTCCCGCCGACGGTGCACGTGCCCGACGCGCCGAGATCCAGCGGCGCGACGAAGCCCCGCTCCCGGAGGAACGCGTCGAGGTCGCCCAAAACGACGCCGGCCTCCATCGTCGCGACGCCCGTGTCCGCGTCGAAGGCCTCGATGCGGTCCATGCGCGCGAGCGAGAGCACGACCTCGTCGTGCACGGGCACGGAGCCGCCGACGAGGCCCGTCTTGCCGCCCTGGGGCACGACGGCGAGCCGCCGCGCGTCGCAGTATTTTAGAATCGCGCTCACCTCGGCCGTCGACGCCGGCCGCAGCACGACGCGGGCCCGGCCCTCCCACTTGGACATCCAGTCGACGTTGTAGGGCCGGCAGGCCTCGGCGCCCTCGAGGACGCTCGACGTCATGGTCCGGAACGCCGCGACGTCGTCGCTCGAGAGCTCGGCGTAGCGCGCCGACCGTTCGGCGACGGCGAGGCGCGGCGCCGCGCCGAAGCGGCGCGACGCGCGGCGCAGCGACGCGGCGGCGGCGTGGCGCAGCGACGCGGCGGCGCGCGGCGCATCGGCAACGCGGCGAGCGCGGGAGAGCATGCTCGGAGCGATGCGAGAGAGCATGCGAGAGCTAGCCATCTCTCGCTTGTGGCAGCGAATTCAACATCGTCGAATTGAAGGCGTTCATGAACGGAAGTGCAGCGCAGTTTACCTTCGACGACTCAGTAGTCCGCCGCGGTTGCGCCGCCGCCCTTGGGCTCGCCCGTGTCCTCGTGGCCGCGGCGCCGGTGGCGCCAGGTGCGCCAGGTGCGCCAGTGGTAGCCGCCGTGGTGGAGGTGGCGCCGCGCCTTGGGCTTCTCCGGCGCCGCGGCCGGCGCGTCCTCGGCCGCGTAGTCGAACACGTCCGGCCCGCCGACGCCCGGCGCGCGCTTCCGCATCCACCGCGCGGCGCGCCTGAGCGCGACGTCGGCCTCGGCGAGCGGCGCGCCCGTGCCGCAGCCCTCCGTGTACATGACGAAGTCGTGCCAGAGCCGCGGCCAGACGTCGACGTCGACGTTGTCGCATTTCGCCGCGAAGTCGCGCGCGTCGTCGAGGACGACGTCCGCGTCGCCGCAGACGAAGAGCGTCGGCGGCAGCGCGGACAGGTCCGGCGCGAACGCGGGCGACGCGCGCGGGTCCGCCGGGTCCGCGCCCGCGAGGTACGCCGCCGCCATCTCGCCTGGGCAGGAAACAAAACTTCAATATGCATGTGCTTGCACGATTTCGACATACTCTCTTCACTGTCCGGAAAGAACTCGCCGAGCAAACACGATTCGTCCAAAAATCAGCCGAATCGACTTCGATGTGATCGAGATGGAGAGGTTTGAAGTTTTTGCTGGAAAGGGCGTTCCACCGGTTGATTTCCGGCACAGCACCTCGCGCGTCTCGTCCCGCTCCGTCTCCGCGTCGCCGCTGTTGAAGACGGGGTCGCCTCGTTTCGTCGCCGCGTCGAACTTGCGCGTCTCGTAGCTTTCGCCGCCGCAGGTGAGGTCGAGCCAGGGGCTGAAGCCGACGACGCCCGCGACGGGCGCGCGCGACGCCGCGGCGCCGTTCGCGAGCGCCGCGGCGACGGCGAGGCCGCCGCCGGAACTATCGCCCGCGAGGAAGAGCGCGTCGGCGGGGGACGGCGCCGGCGCGCCCGCGCCGTCGAGCTCGTGGGCCGCGAGCCACGCGAGCGCGGCACCGCAGTCGTCGACCGCCGCGGGGAAGGGGCACGACGGCGCGAGGCGGTAGTCCGGCGCGAGCACGGGCAGGCCCGTAAGCGCCGCGAGGCGCGACGCGAGCGGCGCGTAGGCCTTGGCGCTGTAGTAGCAGTGGACGCCGCCGTGGAGCAGCAGGATCCGCGACCGCGTCTTCGGCGCGCCCGCCTTTTCGAACCAGAGCGCGCCGCCGCGCTCCACGGGGCCGTAGTCGTCGCCCCACTCGCCGGGCACCTTGCGCCACGACGGCACGCCGCAGGCCGCGGCGGCGACGTGGTGGACGGCGACGCCGGCCGCGAGCTTCGCGTCGAGGCACGCGTCGCCGCCGTCCGCGGCCGCCTGGGCGGGAAACAAACATATGCAACCCGACTTCGCGCGCGTCATCGAACGGTTTCGACGCGAGCTCTTCGGCCGTGCTCCGAGACCTCGCTGAGAGCGATCGATTCGTCCAAAACTCCGCCGAATCGACGTCGACGAGCTCGAGCATGTCAAAGTTTGGTCGGGGCGTCCCGAACCGGCGGTCGACGTCCGCGCGGGCGGCCGCGAGGAGCGCGTCGATACAAACATCGACATGAACCTCGTCGACGAGGCGCACGGCGAGGGGGTCCGGCGGCGGCGGCGCGCCCGCGGCGCCGTGGATGCGGACGATCGCGTCCGCGAGCGCCCCGTCGACGCCCCGCGCGTCTTCGAGGCGCAGCGGCGCGTCGAACGCGGCCGGCGCGTGGACCGTCGCGCGCGTCGCGTAGGAGTCGAGCAGGTTCGCGACGACGCCGTCGACGCCGTAGTGCTCCAGCGCCGCCGCCGCCTTGGCGTCGACGAGCGCCGCGTCCGTCTCGAGCTTGAACGACACGACCTGCGTGAAAATCAAATCTTCAACTCGACTTCAATGTGCGCGTAATCGAACGGTTTGGACCAGACTCTTTCGCTGTGCTTCGAGAGCTTGTCAAGGGCAATCGATTCGTCCAAAAATCAGCCGAATCGACTTCGATGTGACCGAGATAGAGAATTCTCAAGTTTGGTCAGGACCACCCAAACCAGTGGTTGATTTCCACACAGGACGCGACGCAAGACGCGCCCCAGGGCTTGAGGAGCCCGAGCATCTTGGGCACGGCGTCGAGCTCCAGCGTCAGGCCCGCGCCGCCGGTGCTCTGGATCTTGTGCTCCGGCGGCGTCGCGACGTGGAAGTCGCTGACGGCCGCGGCGCAGACGACGACGGCCCGGTGCCCGAGCGGCGCGACCGCGGCGCACGCGGCGCGGAGGAGGCCGAGGTAGGCGTGGACGGACGAAAAGGGCGCCGCCGCGAAGCGCGCGCCGTCGCGGAGCGCCGCCGCGCCGGCTGCGTAGGCCGCGTCGCCCGCGGCGACCGCGGCGAGCGCGGCCCCGGGGTCCGCGCGGAGCGCCTTTTCGAGGCGCCGCGCGAAGGGGAACGCGCACGTCGCCCGGTGCAGGAAGAGCACGGCGTAGCCCCGCTCGAGGAGACACTCCGCGAGCGCCGCGCCGCGGTTGCCCGTCGAGAAGTTGTCGATGTAGCGCACCGTGCGCGCCTCGAGGGGCACGGTCGTGCCGCCCGCCGTGACGACGGCGAGGGGGCGCTCCGTACCGCGCACGCGGCGCGCGAAGGCCTCGAGCGCGGCGACGGTCGCGGCGTCGGGCTGCGACGCGGGCGCGGCGGCGAAGAAGGCCTCGGCGGCAGCGGCGTCGGCCATCGTCGGCTGCGACAGCCACGCGACGGAGGACGCGCTGCGGGCGCTCGTGCGCAGGCGGGCGGCGCGAGCGGAGCTAGTGGCAATTTGCGGGTTCATCATACTGTTCAACATATGTTCAACAATCGAGCGCAACGAGCTTGCGATGGGACGCCACGCCCTCGCCTTCGGTTTGATCGCGACCTGCGGCGCGCTCTTGGCGCCGCGCGCGCCGCGCGCGCCGCGCGCGCGGCGGGCGGCCGCCTCTGTCGAGGACGTCGACGCGGTCGTCGTCGGCTGCGGCCCCGCGGGGCTCGCCGCGGCGATCGAGCTGCGCGCGCGCGGCTACGAGCGCGTCGTCGCGCTCGACCGCCTGGCGTCGCCCGACACGTTCGAGACCGAGCGGGCCTACCTCTACCTCGTCGACGCGCGGGGCCAGCGCTGGACGGACCGGCACCCGGGCCTCACGGCGGCCGTCGCCGCGCGCGGCGTGAGCAACGGCAACTACACCGTGTCGCGGCTCTACCCCGACGCGCGCGGCGTCGAGACCGTCGCGCCGCTCCTCGCGCGGCCCGCGGCGGCCGGGGCGATCTGGATCCCGCGCGCGTCGCTCCTGGCGACGCTCGCGGACTGCGCCCGCGACCGCGGCGTCTCGCTCCGGTACGGCGCGGCGCTCGAGGGCCTGGAGCGCGAGGGCGGCGCCGTCGTCGCGTCCGCCGGCGGCGCCGCCTACCGGACGCGGCTGCTCGTGGGCGCGGACGGCGCGTCGTCGCGCGTGCGGTCGTTCCTCGGCCGGCGCGCGGCCGCGCCGCGCGTCTTCGAGCCCGTCGAGCTCGAGTCGCCGTCGGGCGGGCTCCGCTACAAGATGCTCGAGGTCGACCCGGCGTTCGCGGCGACGGACCTGCGCACGGGCGCGCGGGTGGCGACGGCGTCCGCGCAGGCCTACGTCGTGCCCTCGAAGGCGACGAACAAGCGCGACCGCGTCCGCCTCGGCCTCCTGCCGTCGCGCGACCCGGCGCTGCCGCGGACGGCGAATGTCATCAGGGCCGCGGGCCACAGCGTCTGGGACCTGGAGACGGGCGACGACGTGCTCGCGTGGCTCAGGGAGCAGTTTCCGCAGCTTAATGGCGCGGTGTCGGCCGACGCGGCGTCGCGCTTCGCGCGCGCCGGCGCCGGCGCGTTCCCGCGGCCCCGCTACACGCCGGCCGTCGCGGCGCGCGCGGGCGACTGCGACTGCTTCCTCGTCGGCGACAGCGCGCACGCGTTCCCGCCGGACCTCGGCCAGGGCTGCAACGCCGCGCTCGAGGACGTCGCCGCGCTCGGCGACGCGCTCGCCGCGAGCCGCCGGCCGACGTGGGCCTACCAGCGCGCCCGCGCGCCCGCGGCGCGGGCCGTCGCCAAGCTCGTGCAGATCGGCTTCCCCTTCCAGTACGACCAGTCGCGGGTCCGCTCGAAGCTGTTCCTCGTGGGGCTCGCGCTCCGCGTGGCGGCGAACGCGGTCGCCGCGAGGCTCCTGCCGCCGCGGGCCGCGGCGGCCGTCGCGCCCCCGCCCGCGGCCTTTGCCGTGCTCGACGGCGAGCCCTACGTCGACATCCTCGCGCGGCTGACGCGCGCCAACCGCGCGGTCGCCGCGGTCGCCGCCGCCGCCGCCTGCGCCGTCGCGCGAGCGGCCATGGCCGGGTGTTAGGGCCGGGCTTCGGTAATATACCGAACCCCCCACCTAGGTTCCACTTTACTTAAAAACCTGCGACGGTCCAGGGGCAGGTTTTTCGGGTTTTACTTTGACGGTGATTTGCCGCCGGCGAGTTTACTGCCGGGCCGGTTTTTCGGCGGCCGAGAGGCCCTTCAAGCCGTGGCGTCCCGCGTACTACGCGGCGCGCGTGACTCGCGGGAACGACCGAAATCAACTCTGCTTCATTGGCGCGGATATTACGGTTCCTCCTGCGAGGACGGCGCTGGTTGTGTTAGGGGCTTGGCAGCCAGTATATCGTAGTTTACTTCAAGTTGAGGTGCAATTTTACTTCAATTTACCACGGAAACTCGCCGTTTCCCGCAACTAGCGGCGCCGGCAAATCGAGTTGCGGCAAACGAAAAACCTGCGACGCCTCCGGCAAAGCAAGTAAACCTGCACCTGCCGGCGAATCACGGCAGTAAAGTGGAACCTAGCCCCCCACGCGCGCCTACTTGAGGATCGTCCGCTTCTTCGCCGACGGCGGCTCCGGCGACGACGCCGTCGCGCGGCGGTCGAGCTCGGGCAGCGCCCCGGACCGGCGGCGGCGCCCCGCGGCGCCGCGCTTCGCGGCCTCGGCGGCCTCGGCGCGGCGGAGCTTCGCGTCGAGCTGGGCCTTGGTGCCCAGGCTCGCGCGGTCCGCCGCGGCGGCGCCGTCGCCCGGCCGGGCCGCGGCGCTCTCGAGCGACGACGTCGACGCGGACTCGCCGCCGCCGCCGGGGCTCCGGGGCCCCGCGCGGCGGCCGAGGTGGAGCCTGTGTGGAAATCAACCAGTGGAACGCCCTGTCCAGCAAAAACTTCAAACCTCTCTATCTCGATCAAATCGAAGTCGATTCGGCTGATTTTTGGACGAATCGATTGCTCTCATCGAGTTCTCGAAGCACAGCCGAAGGACTCGCATCGAAACTTCCTCATAAGAGAACATTGAAGTCGGGTTGAAGATTTGATTTCCACGCGGGGCGGAGCGAGCCGCGCTGCTTGATGGACTTGCGCGACGGCGCCTCCCGGTCGTAGTCCTCGACCTTGGTCCGCCGCCGGCTCCCGGCCGCGCCGGACAGCGTCGACGCGACGGAGCCCTCGGGCGACGCGGGCAGCTCGCCGAGCAGCCTGCGCGGCGCGCGAAATTCTTCCACCCGCCGTCGACGGGCGCGCGCGCGACAGGTTCGACGCGCGCGCGTCGACCGTGCGTCGAGCGCTCGACGAGCGCCATCGATCCGTCCAAACGTCGCCCGAATCGACGTCGACCGAGCCGGAGGCGCGCGACGTTCGGTCGGGGCCGACTACGAGCCGGCGGGCGAACGCCGCGCGGCCGGCGGCCGCTTCGTCCAGAGCTGCTCGTCGCCGCCGTCGCCGCCGTCGCCGGCCTCGCTCGCCGCCCGCCGGAGCGCCCGGTGGCCGCCGCCGCCGCGGTCGCGGCCGCGGTCGCGCGCCGCGCGCTCCGCGCGGCGCGCCGCGTCGCCCGCCGCGCGCGCCGCGAGCCACTTGCCCGACATGACCTTGCGCAGGACGCGGCCCTTGGCGTCCTGCCACGCCCGCCGGTTCCGGTAGTAGGACCCGAGCTTCTTGTGCGGCGGGTTGTTGAGCATGAGGCTCTCGTTGAGGTAGTTGACGACCGGCAGGTCGAAGAGGAGCTCGACGTCGGCGAGGGCCTGCTTGGAGAGGCAGTAGACCTCGACGTTCGTCACGGCGACGGCGCTGCTCGGCGTCCGCCCGTTCGGGTCGAGCACCGCGAGCTCGCCGAAGACCTGGCCGCTGCCGAGCACGGCCACCAGCATCTCGACCGTGCCCTCGCCGGGCTCGAAGAGGTGGTGGTCGCCGAGGTCCTTCCAGTTGCGCTGGACGACCCAGAGGCCCGGCGGCTCGGCCTCGAAGCTCACGTCGTCGACGCGGCCCGGCGACCGCCGCCGCGGCTCGCGCGGCCGGCAGAAGCTCTCGGGCACGGACTTGTTGAGGTTGACGACGCCGCTCTTGATGATGAAGAGCTCGGGCGCGACGTCGTCCTCGCGGATGATGACGCTGTGCGCGTCGTAGAGCTTGACGACGCAGCGCCGGCTCACGTCCGCGAGGCGCCTGCGCGGAACTCGAATCTTCGACCCGACTTCACTGTGAGCGAATGTTTCGACACACGCACGTCCACTGTGCGTCGAGAACTCGACGAGAGCGATCGAGTCGTCCAAAAAGCGGCCGAAACGACGTCGATGTGGCCGAGCTCGAGCAGTTCCAACGTTCGGTCGGGACGTCCCGAACCGGCGGTCGGTTTCCGCGCCGCGAGGCGCCGCGCGGGCCACGTGAGGAAGATGGGGCAGGCCGCGAGGTGCTTCGCGCGGATGATCTGGTCCTCCGCCGTCGCCGCCGCCGTGATGCGGTTGTAGTCGTCCTTGGGCAGCGACAGCAGCACGCACGTCGTCTTCGCGCGCGCGTTCGCGGACCGGAGGTGCGCGCCTGCGTGGAAATCAAATATTCAACCCGACTTCAATGTGAGCATACGCGACAGTTTCGACGCAAGCTCTTTGGCCGTGCTTCGAGAACTCGACGAGAGCAATCGATTCGTCCAAAAATCAGCCGAATCGACTTCGATGTGACCGAGCTAGAGAATTCTCAAGTTTGGTCAGGACCGCCCAAACCAGCGGTTGAATTCCACGCAGGCGCGCGCCCTCGGCGAGCGCGGCCTCGCCGAAGGCGTCGCCGGCCTGGAGCCGCTTGACGACGATCTCCGTCGAAGTCGTGCCGCCCGCGCCGTCGTCGACCTCGTGGTTGAGCGTGATGGACACGACGCCCGAGTAGATGACGTAGAACGAGTGGCCCTCGTCGCCCTGCGCGAAGACGAGGTCGTTGCCGCCGCAGTGGACGACGGTGACGACCTTGGCGACCTCCGCGAGCAGATTCGGCGCCTCGGCCTCGCCCTCCACGGGCTCTTTTTTGGGCGTCCGCTTGGCAAGATCCGCGAAGAAGCGGACGTGGCGCAGGATGCCCATCCACTGCTTCACCTCGTGCTTCGAGCGGTCCCCCAAATTGCCGTCGGCGAGGGCCGACCCGGGGGGCGTCGCCGTCGCCCCGGACGCGCTCGTCGCCGCCGTGAGGGGCCGGCCCTGCGCGTCCATCTTCGCCGCTTCCGGCGCGCGGCGGAGCACGTCGGGCACGCCCGAGAAGCCGTCGAGCGCGAGGCTCTGCTGGGCCCGCCGCCGCGCCACGAGCAGGTCCCCGATGCACTCCATGAACCGCCCCTCGCGCCGGTGCACCATGGCGCTCTGCTCGAGGACCACGGGGTTCGTCGGGTCGATGATGCGCGCGCGCTCGATGAGGCGGTGCGCCTCGCCGGGCGTCGCCGCGTGCCTCGCCTTCTCCAGGAGCTGGGCGCTCAGCACGCTGTGGTGCTCGCTCAAATTGAGCCGCTCCCCCATGGTCGCGGGACCCATGGTGGATGATCAGGGCGTTGGTGGCACCATCTCTCAACGCTGCCAAGGGGCTGCTCGACACAGCACGGCATGGTTCACTGGCGCAGCAGCTTCGGCGGCCGGATTCTCCACTCGATGTGCCCGTGAAGAACCGGCCCGAACACGCCGCCCGCGCCGCCTTTCCCGCCTCCGATGTCGGCCTTCGCCGGCGGCGACGTCGTGCTCGGCGCGCCCTGCGCCGCCGGCGCCGGGTCCGCGGCCGTCGCCGAGCTGCTCTGGTTCACGTACCGCTGCGGCTTCGAGGAGCTGGCGCCCTACGGCTTCACGGACGACGCCGGCTGGGGCTGCATGCTGCGCAGCGCCCAGATGCTGCTGGGCAACGCGCTGACGAGAAACGGGGCGGCGCCGAGGCTGGCGACGGCGGCGCTCTTCGCGGACGCGCCCGGCGATTCCGCGCCGTTCGGTTTGCACAACTTCGCAAAGTGCGGCCTCCGCTACGACGTGCTCCCGGGCGAGTGGTACGGCCCCGGCGTCGCCTGCCACGTGCTCCGGGACCTCGTCGACTGGCGCCGGAACGCGCCCGGCGGGCCGGCGCTGCGCGTGGCCGTCCGGACGCCCGAGAGCCCGCTGTCCGTCGAGGGCGCGTGCGACGCGATGACTCAGGGCCGGCGCGACGCCGCGGCCGAGGACCCGGCGCCGGCGCCGGAGGATTCCGCGCCCCTCGACGTCGACGGCGCGGACCCGCTGCTCCGGCCGCCGCCGGAGCTCGCGGCGCGCGAGCGGCGGCGGAGCGAGAGCGCCGCGGCGGCGGCCGCCGCGCGGCGCGGCCGCCTCGACGGCGCCTGGGACGGCGCGCTCCTCGTGCTGCTGCCCCTGCGCCTCGGGCTCGCGCGCCTCGAGCCGCGCTACGCGGAACCGCTCCGCGCGGCGCTCCGGCTGCCGCAGTCCGCGGGCATGCTCGGCGGCCGGCCGCGCGCGAATCGAATCTTCAACACGACTTCAATGTGCGCGTCATCGGACCAGAATCTTCAGCTGTGCTTCGAGAACTCGACGAGAGCCATCGATCCGTCCAAAAGTTAGCCGAATCGACGTCGATGTGACCGAGCTCGAGCATGTCAAAGTTCGGTCCACGCAGGCGGCCGGCCGCGCGCGGCGCTCTTCTTCCCGGGGCTCGCGGCGCGCGACGGCGGCGCCGACGTCTACGGCCTCGACCCGCACACGGTCCAGCCCGCGCTCGCCGTCGGCGACGACGGGGCGCTCGGGCCCGGCGCCGCGGCGTCCGTCGCTCCGCGCGACGCGAAGAAATTAGCGGCGGACGCGCTCGACCCGAGCCTCGCGCTCGCGTTCTACTGCGCGGACCGCGACGACTTCCTCGACTTCGTCGGCCGCGCGCGCGCGCTGCCCGGCGCGCCGCTCTTCGAGGTCGTCGACGCCGCGCCGCGCCGCGGCGGCGCGTGCTTCGACGACGACGACGACGACGACGCGAGCGGCGGCGGCGGCGGCGACGACGAGGACGACTGGGAGGTCGTCTGACTCGTTAAAAAGAATTAGAGGAAGTAGTACTCGAGCCAGGCGACGAGCTCCTCCTTCGTGAACTGCATGTGGTCCCCGGCCGTCGCGTTGAAGAAGATGCCGCCGCGCTCGTCGACGGTCTTCAGGCCGAAGAGGTCCTCCACATACCACGGCGTCTCCCGCATGGGCAGGACTTTTTTGAGGGAGCCGTCCGCGAAGGCGCCCCAGTGCTCGCCCTCGTTGGGGTGGATCATGGTGTCCTTCTCGGCCTTGACCATGATCCACTTGTCCACGGAGACGAAGTTGCGCTTGTACGTCTCGTTGACGACGTTCCCCTCGTTGTTCCACGCCGCGAGCTCCGAGTGGGCCTTGTAGGCGTCGGACGTCACGCGGAGCGGGTCGCGGTAGTAGTCGATCTGGAAGAGGAGGCCCTGGGTGAGCGCCGTGTACGCGGCGTCGCCGGCCAGCGACGCCACGAGGCGACACACGGGCCCCATGAGGCCCGTCGGGTCGCAGTGGGGGAACGCGGCGACGCCGACGACCGTGCCGTGGACCGACAGCACGTTTTTCACGGGCGGGTCGTTGTACCGCTGGACGTAGCCGCGGCAGACGCTGTTGCCCTGCGAGAAGCCGACGCAGTTGAACCCGCCGGCGAGGCCCGTGTCGTTCCGGACGGCGGCGGCGAACGCGTCGACGTTCTTGTTCATGGTCATGAAGAAGCCGTTGTTCGTGTCCTCGGCGAGCGTCGCGCCCGTCGGCACGCACGTCGCGTAGGTGTCGAGCGTCTTCCCGACGAGGGCCGTGATCTCCTTCATGCCGGCGTTGAAGCAGGAGTCGCCCATGCCGTGGGCCAGGGCCGACGGGTAGACCTTCGCGGCGGCCGCGAAGGACGCGCAGAGCGCGACCACACACAGGGGGCGCAGCATCGCGACAAGCGACCAGCAGGGGTGCGACGGACGACGAACACCGGCGCCGGGAGCAGCCAGGAGGGGTGCGACGGACGACGAACACCGGCGCCGGGAGCAGCCAGGAGGGGCGCGACGGACGACGAACACCGGCGCGGGGAGCAGCCAATCGCAAAGCCACAGATGCCACAGTGAGATTTGGATACTGCGGGGCGTGCATCCCAGCAGCGGACTTGCCGCACGATGGTGCGTTCAGCGGGGCCGGGCTGCGCCGTCGCGCTCGTCGCGCTGCTGTCGGCGGTCGCCGACGAGTCGGACCCCTACGCGGATCTCTACGCGTCCCTGCTCGCGGGCCAGCTGCCCGGCGTGCTCACGGCCGCGGGCCCCGGCGTCTTCGACGACGGGCGGCGCCTGGCCTACTCCTACGCGCCGAAGCTCAACGCGACGACGAAGCGCGGGCGGCTCAACTACACCTACTTCTCGCCGGCGCCCTTCGCCTACCGGGACACGGCGAACCCCTGGGTCAGCTGGGCCCGGACCTCACTCTGTACGACGCGTCGTCCTCGGACCTCAAGGCGGCCTTCTTCGCCTTCGACGGCGACTACTGGGACGGCGACGAGCTGCGCTACCCCAACGCCGTCACAGACATCGACGGGTCCTACGACCCCGGGAGCCGCACGCTCGTGCTCTGGGCGTCGCCGGCCCAGGCCAAGGCCGACTGGCTCGCCGCACTCCGGAGCGTGCTCTACCGGGCCAAGGCGTCGCTCAGCGTCAAGGACCGGCCCAACGTCCACACGCGCGTCGTCTGGATCTCGCTCCTCGACGTCGAGGGCAACCGCGGGACCTCGTTCAACGTCACGATCGCGCTGAAGACGGCGACGACGATCATCACGGACCGCTCCGGCGTCACGCTCCGGGATAAGGCGTGAGGTGTTTCTCCGCGCGCGCGGCGCGGCGAACCTCCCCGGGGGGGGGGGACCGGGCGCCCGGGCGCCCTCAGCAGTGGCAGGGGTAGGTGCCGCTGAAGGAGTCGTTGGAGCAGAGCTCCCGGGGCGAGTCGAGGGGCTCGAGGACGGCCTCGAGCTGGGAGCACCAGACCGCGAGCTGCGCCTCGTCGGCGAGCCGCGACGCGTAGCCGTCGAGGACGTCGCGCTCGTCGCCGGGCGTGAAGCCCGCCTGGGCAGCAAAAGGGTGCGAAATTCCCAACTTCAAAGGCTCCTCTCTCGGTCGTTTTCCGCTCGTTTCGGCTGATTTTTAGACGAGCGATCATCTCTCGGAGCGCTCTCGAAGCATGGGTGCTGTTTCCGAAACGCGCGCGCGCGGAACACTCACGTTGAAGCGACGTTGAATCACTCTTGTCCTGCCCTGAAGCCCGCGAGCTCGAGCGCGAACGACACCATGCAGTACGCGTCGCCGACCTGGTCGACGACGTAGCCCGTCAGCGGGAACTCGAGGCGGCCGTTTCCCGGCTCGTCGCAGCCCTCGCAGTCGACGCTGTAGGTCTTGACGACCGCGCGCTCGAGCGGGTGGTCGTAGCGCGCGAGACGCGAGTAGCACAGCGCGGACGCGGTTTTTCCGTTCGGCGCCTTGCGCACGACCTCGTGGACGAGCTCCTCGTCGTTGATCGCGTGGACGCAGCGCGCGTCGACGACGGCCTCGTCCGCGGCCTCGCGCTCGAGGAACCGCGTCCACACCGTCTTCGTGACCTGGTCCAGGTCCGCCTCGACGCGGACGTGGAAGACGGCGACGAGCGTGTGGTGGCTCGGGTCGTGGTAGTCGCGCTCGACGGCGTAGGTGCAGCGCACCTCGCCCCGCGACGGGCCCGCTGTGAAGGTCCGCAGGAACGCGTCCGCGCCCCGAAAGTCGGGCTCCTCGGGCCGGCACAAATTCACGAGCGCCTCCTCGAAGAGGCGGTCCGTCTCGACGGAGTCCATGGGGGGCTCGAAGCCCGCGAAGAACTCGATGCACTTGCCCAGGATGACGCTGTGCTTGGACCGCTCCGTGATGCTGTAGCGGCAGCTGCCGCCGTCGTCGCAGTCGAGGTCGACGCTGTAGGTGCGCTTCGCCTCCTCCTCCTCGCGCGGCGACTCGTCGTAGTTGATGCAGTCCTCGTCCTCCTCGAACCACATGGCGGGCGAGCACGCGGACACGCGCGAGGCCGCGGCGGCCGCGGTCGCGTCGATCGGGCTGCCAAATTACACGCGGCCGCGGCTGCACGAAGGCGGCACCGTTACGACAACCTTACCTTCGTGAGCTCATCATGGCTGAGCCTTCGTCCCCCATGCCGCTACCCACAGACGACGACGACGGCGCCGTCCTCGAGCCGGTGCCGCGCGCCGACGACGACGACGACGGCGCCGTCCTCGAGCCGGTGCCGCGCGCGGACGACGACGACGACGGCGCCGTTCTCGAGCCGGAGCCGCGCGCCGACGACGACGACGGCGGCGCCGTCGTCGAGCCGGAGCCGCGCGCGTACGACGACGAGGGCTGGTCCGACGGCCAGCGGCCGAGCCGCGGCGACCTCATCCTCGAGGCCTGCGTCGACGCCGCCGTCGACTACTTCGCGCGGCGGCGCGACACGTACCCGGCCATCGTGCGCCAGGGGAGCCGGCTCAACGCCGCCGCCGCGCGCGAGCTCTACGGCGCCGAGGACGGCGCCGCGGCGGCGGACGGCGACGGTCGGCGGCTCAACGCGCGCGAGCTGCGCGAGGCCATGCGCGCCGCGGCGGGCCGCGTGCGGCGGCGCGGCGCGCTCCGCGCGTTCCGCGAGTCCGGCAACGCGGCGCTCCGCCGGGCCGTCACGGGCGACCCGGGGACGCGCGTCCGCGACCACGTGCGCCGCGTCGCCGGCGACAAGCGGCGGGCCATGGCGGGCCGCGTGAAGACGCTCCGGCGCCGCGCGCGCGAGCCCGTCGTCGTTCGGGCCGTCGACAAGGCGCTCTTCACGCTGGGCGTGGGCTGGGTCGTCGCGACGGAGTACGTCGTCCTCGCGCGGCCCGAGCACTTTGGGGCCTGGTACGTCGCGAGCCTCGCGCCGCTGCTCGCGCACCGCGTCGTCACGTACCGGCGCCGGCGCTGGGCCTACTTCTGCCTCGACTTCTGCTACGCGCTCAACGCGCTCTGCATGGGCCTCGCCGTCGCGGCGCTCGCGGGCGGGCGCGCGCGCGGCCGCTTGTTCGCGCTCGCCTTCGCGCTCGCGAACGGGCCCCTGCTCTCCGCGATCCTCGTCTGGCGCAACTCGTTCATCTTCCACTCGCTGGACCACGTGACGTCGACGGCGCTCCACGCGCTGCCGCCGATGTGGACCTACGCCGTGCGCTGGGGCGGCGGCGGCGACGCCGGGCGCGCGCTCGGGTTCCCGGCGGCGGCGGACGCCGTCGCCGCGTACGCCGCCTGGCAGGCGCTCTACGTCCTGAAGACGGAGGTGGTCGACGCCGCGTACCTCCGATCGACGCCCGACGAGTCGACGAGCCTGCGCTGGATCGCGCGCGACGGGAAGAACGCCATGAACCGGCTCTGCAAGGGGGTCCTCGTGTCCGGGGGCCTCATGCGGCGCGACGAGGACTTCGACCCTTGCACGCGGAAGACGAAGCTCACGTTCTGGGCCGCGCAGCTGTTGTACACCGTCGTCACGCTCGCGCCCGCGCCGCTCATGTGGCGGTCGCGCCGCGCGCACGAGGCGTTCCTGATCGCCATGTTCACGACGGCCGTCTACAACGGCGCGTCCTACTACATCGAGGTGTTCTCGCGGCGCTACAACCTCAAGTTCGACGTCGCGGACGACGACGCGGGCGACGACGACGGCGACGACGGCGACGACGAGGACCACGGTAAGGTGGCCTAGTGAGCCTTAGTGCAAGCCACGGCAACTTTCCCCTCAATCAAGATCATTCGTCCGCGAGCGAGAATCGTCTCAGTTCGTCTCGTGTGCTCGGCCATCGTTCGATTTTGCGCCGCGGCGTGGTCCGTGCACCGACCACCCAGACCACCACAACAACAACCGAACGCCTCGCCATGGCGCAGATCGACGCCGGCGCCATCGAGGCCATCATTTCGGGCCAGGCGTCGTCGGACACCGGGTACTCGCCCGTGATCCAGGTCATCAACGCGACGGAGATCAAGAACAATCAGACGGGCGCCGGCTCCGGCCGGTGCGCGCCCGCGCGCCCCCTTTCCCCGCCCCGCCGCCCCGCGGCCCGACGCGCCCGCGCGCAGGTTCCGCATCGTCATCTCCGACGGCGCGCGGTTCACGACGTCGATGGCGGCGTCGCAGCTCGCCACGATGCTGAAGGGCGGCGAGCTCCAGGCCGGCTGCTTCGCGCGCCTGAACAAGTTCGTCCTGAACACGATCCAGAACAAGTCGATCGTCATCCTCCTCGACGTCGCGGTCGTCGGCGCGCCGACCGGCCTCGTCGGCGCGCCGACGAGCTACCCCGACGGCGCGCCGCTCCCGAGCGCGACGGCGGCGGCCCTCGGCGGCCCCGCGGCCCCGGCCCCCGCGCGGGCCTTCGCGCCCCAGCACAACGCGCGGCCCGCGCCCGCGGCCGCGCCGAAGCCGCCGTCGAACTTCGGCGCCGCGATGCGCGGCGCGGCCGCGCCGGGCGGCGGCGGCGCGTTCCGGTCCATCAGCGAGCTCAACCCCTACCAGCAGCGCTTCACGATCAAGGCGCGGGTCACGGCCAAGGGCCCCATGCGCACCTGGAACAAGCCCACGTCGTCGGGCAACCTCTTCTCCGTCGACCTCCTCGACGGCTCCGGCGAGATCCGCGGCACGTTCTTCAAGGAGGTCGCGGACAAGGTCTTCCCGCTCCTCGAGGAGGGCAAGGTCTACGTCTTCCAGGAGACGAGCGGGCGCCTCAAGCCGTCGAACAAGCAGTACACGTCCATCCCCCACGAGTTCGAGGTCACGTTCGGCAACGTCACCGTCGAGCCCGCGGACGACGACGGCGCGATCGCGCGCATCGTCGGCGACTGGAAGAAGATCTCCATGTTCGCCGACGGCGGCGGCCCGCGCGAGGGCAACGTCGACATCGTCGGCGTCATCAAGGCCGCGTTCCCCGCGGGCCAGATCACGTCGAAGCGCACGGGCCAGGAGCTCACGAAGCGCGAGGTCGTGCTCTGCGACGACAGCGGCTACGACGTGCGCCTCACGTTCTGGGGCGAGCTCGCGCTGCGCGACGACGCCTTCTTCGAGGCGCAGCCCGTGCTCGCGGCCAAGGGGCTCCGCGTGTCCGACTTCGGCGGCGTGTCGCTGTCGTCGGGCTTCGGGTCGCAGCTCATCTTCGACGGCCAGGAGGACCCCGAGTCCCTGCGGCTCCGGGCCTGGTGGACCGAGGGCGGCGGCCGCGAGGCGCCGACGGTCGCGCTGACGGGCGCGTCCGGCGGCTCGGGCGCGCCCGCGGCGTTCGGCGACCGCATCGTCCTCGACGACATCAAGGGCCGGCAGCTCGGCTTCGGCGAGAAGCCCGACTACGTGACCTTCAAGGGCACGCTCAACTTCGTCAAGACCGACAGGCTCTGGTACGAGGCCTGCGCCCAGGAGGGCTGCCAGAAGAAGGTCGTGCAGAACTCCGACGGCACGTGGCACTGCGAGAAGTGCCAGGCGACGAACGCCGAGTGCAAGCGGCGCTACCTCATGTCGTCGACCTTCGTCGACGACAGCGCCCAGTCCTGGGTCTCCGCCTTCAACGACCACGCGACGAAGATCTTCCTCGGCGTCAACGCCGACGACCTCGCCGCGTACAAGGAGGAGGTCGAGAACGAGGACGGCAAGTTCGAGGACTACATGAAGCAGTTCCTCTTCAAGCAGTACGTCGTCAAGGTCCGCGTCAAGTCCGAGGTCTGGCAGGAGCAGTCCCGCGTCAAGGCGTCCATCGTCGACATCTTCGACCTCGACTACGTCGCCGAGTCGCGGGACATCCTCGCCGCGCTCGCGGTCATGGGCTGAGCGACGGACCCCCCCCCCCGCCCCTAAGCAAGAAGCTCCCCCGGACCGCGCGAGGGCGTTGTGCGGGGCTCGTCGCTGTCGGTGTCCTCGCGACCTCCTTCCCTTCCCCGCGGCATCCTCGCGCTCGCGACGTTCGCGAACCGCCTCGAGCGACGATCCATGTCGATGCGCCTGGGATTTATTCGGCTAGAAGTCGAGGTCGACGCCCGAGAGCGACGTCGGCGAGCCCGCGAGGACGACGCCCCCAAGTCGCTTGGACCGGTCGCTGTCGTCGGGCGGGCTCGAGCTGCCGCCGCCGTCGCCCGGCTCGGGCCGCGGCGCGCGGCGCGAGACGTCGAGCTGCCACTCCCACACGACTCGTTCCTTCTCGCGGCCGAGCTGCTCCACCCGCCTCTTGAGCGCCTCGTTCGCGCCGCGCCGCGAGCGCAGCCAGAGGGGCTTGAGCACGCCGTAGACGAGGCCGTTCGCCGCGCACAGCGTGATCGCCCAGGCGAGCCACATCGGGCCCTGCGGGCCGAAGGCCGCGCCCGCGGCGCGCGTCACCAGGAAGCTGAGCGCGAGGTGGGCCGCGGTGAAGGCGGCCTGGAAGCGCGGCTTGCCGCAGCCGATGAAGGCCAGGCAGAACCCGATGAGCACCGTGAACAGGTAGAAGAGGGGCGTCCGCATCGACGCGTAGACGCGGCGCACCTGGACGTCGCGCTTATCGTCCGAGAGGCTGTGGAGGAGCACCACGCGCACGAGGTGGTTCGTCAGCATGTAGCCGGCCATCAAGTAGTGCGCGCGCGCCTCGCACGCGGCCCGGAACGACGGCTCGGTCACGGCGGCGGACGAGCAGAGCACGAAGATCGCGGTCCAGAGCTGGCCCGGGAGCGACACGCCGAGGCCCGAGCTGAGCACGTTCGCGCTCTCCGCGAGGCGCGCGAAGACGCAGACGAGCCAGTAGAAGAGGAAGACGCGTCGGCTCAGCATGCGCTCGAAGCGCCGCCTGCGATGGCCGCGCGTCGCATCTCTCGAAAAGAAACGAACATGCTTCGAATCTCTCGAACAGAACCGACCACGCGTCGCATCTCTCGAAAAGCGTCTCGCGTCGCTTCGAATCTCTCGAACAGAACCGACCATGCGTCGCATCTCTCGAAAAGCGTCTCGCGTCGCGGGACGCCGCGCGGCGCTCGTCGCCCGCGTCGGGGAGCGTGAACTCGCAGCACGCGATGTCGTTGTCGATGTCGCGGTCGTCGTCCCCATCCGCCGCGACGCGATACGAATCCTCGAAGGTAACGGCGTGGCCCTCCGGCACGGGCTCGGGGACGCCGCTCGAGCCGCTCGAGCTTCGGAAGGGGATGGGGATTTCGCTAGCCCCGAGCATGATGCCTCCGAGAGTTCAAGTCAACCGCTCGCGACGGCGCGAAGAGTGCTCGTGATCGAAAAAGCCTCGAGTGCTCGTGATCGAAAAAGCCACGAGGTCTCGCTTGTTGCACTGATGGCCTAAAATTTACACAAAGTCAACTCGCCTCGTAGCGACACACAAAATGCACCTCCGATGTTGAAGGGGCAAGAACCGACTGTGAGCGAGCATGGCCGCCGCTATCGCATCCCAGGCCGCCGTGGCGGAGCAGCCCGCCTTCGTGTTCACGGAGGACAATTTCCGCGCGCCGAAGCTCCCCGCGAACCTCAAAGTCGTCGACGTGCCCCTCGTGGAGGCGACGGACGCGGCGCTGGAGGGTTTTGGGTACGTGCTCCACAGCGCCGACGAGCGCACGGTGGAGAAGAAGAACTTCGAGATCGTCCAGTGGCCCGCCAAGGGCTGGCGCAAGTGCGACCCGGGCTGCGGCGACGAGGCGGGGACGACGGAGGGCCGGTTCGAGGTGCGGTGGGAGGGCGACTTCTTCTACGGAAACAACTTGGCCGTCGCGACGACGAACAACACGTACCTCGACGGCCTCGGCGCGCTGCCGGAGGTCGCGAGCGCCGACGAGGCGACCTGCGCCGGCGACGGGAAGGCGATCTTGCTCTGGATGAGCGACTACCACGGCGACGGCGCGCAGCTCTTCTTCCCCGAGCGGCGGCACCCCTTCGTCGTGTGCCTGGGCCCCGCGGCCTGCGGCGACGACGTCGCGCCGGCCGACATGCGCGCCTTCTACGTGCCCGCGGGCAAGGGCGTCTACTTCCACCCGGGGACCTGGCACAACGGCGTCTACGTCGCCAAGGACGTCATCGCGCGCCTCGGCGGCGACAAGGCGACGTTCCTCACGCGCCAGGGCAGGGTCCACAGCCGCTTCTCCGCGAGCTGGGCCGAGGAGTTCGGCTGCGTCCTGCGCGTCCCGCTGACCCTCTGAGGCGCGGCGAGTATTAAATTTTGGCGATGTCGGCCCGGGCATCGTCGAGATCATGATGTCGCAGTCATAGCCTGAGACGCAGCCGCCGCCGCCGAAAAACAACACACAAGACCCTTATTTAAATACCCCCTACGACGCCCGCCACGTCAAGACCCCCACGGACCCGAGCGCCTTGACGGCGATGCATCCGAAGGTGTCTCTCGAGGTCGGCGAACGTCATGTGTTTCGGGACACTCTCATTCATGAGCGGCAAGGTCTTCCACATAGCCGCTTCGTACAACCGGCGGCTACCCTCGACCTTAGCGCGGTCGCTTTCCGCGAGCTCCTCGAGAGCTTCGCGCATCGCTTTTCCATAATCTTCGACGCTCGCGTGTCGCCATCCGGAGGTCTTCGATTCAGGTGCTGTTTGCTGCCGCGCCGGCGCGGCTGCGTCGTCGAGCTTGTCGAGGATCTTTAGGACATGCAAGGCGCCGCTGAGATCGGGGTTTTGATCATAGCTGTCATAGTCTTCCTGAAGCTCTATACAAGTTCGCAAACACCCCTCCAGTTCAGCCTTAAGTTCAGGTGATTGCTCTCGGCAAAGCTTTTTCGCTTTTTCCCTCCGAGCTCGGAAGAGCTTCAACACGTGGGCCGGGCTATGACCCTGCGCCAGATGCACCATGAAGAAGCGTGTTGCCGCGGGCAGCTGCAATTCGATCTCGTCCCGCGGCAGCCCCATCTTCAGCATCACGAGCCGCATCGTTCGCTCGGCGTCTGCTTGTATCTCCTCACTGCTCCTACGATTCCCGATGCTGCTTGCTTGGTCGATGTCCCTTTTAAATTGAAGCTCCGCGGCGGCCCGACTGTTTCCTTCCGCCAGATACGCGTCAAACTTGCGAAGAGCCTCGGGCATCGACGCGTCGATCATTCGCGCTGGGACGCCCGCGTCCTGCATCGTGTGGCGGAGGAAAGACTCGATGCTCTTCAGCTCGTCGAGCGCCGCGGCCATCTCCGCGTCCGTCGCGTCGGCGGGGATCCCATCGATCTCGGGCGCATCGGCCATGCTGCCCGCTTGCGGCTGGGTTTATTGCTGAGCTGCAATTTAACCTCAAGGCTGATTCCTTGAAGTGCTCGAGCTCAAGAGGCGAGCTGGACTGTCGCGTCGCGCGCCGCCAGGTCTCCCACAGTGTGCGAGCCGCGAGCTGCCAGTCGCGTCGCGCGCCCGCCAGCGCGCCCACACATCGCTCGCAGCTCGCTGCAGCCAGTCGCGTCGCGCCCGCCAGCGCGCCCACACAAATCGCATGAGCGCCGTCACGCGCCTCCTCGGCGGCATGTCCGCCGTGGCGTCGGCCGCCGGCGGGCGGCGGCGCCTGGCCACCGTCGGCCTCTCGGGCGGCCGCCGGCGCCTCGCGACGGTCGCGGCGCCGGAGCACTTCCTGCACGTGGGCCCGGGCGGCGACTGGTGGGAGGGCGGCGGCATCTACGCCGCGAAGCACAACCCGGGCGACTACGTGCGGTCGCTGCCGCTGCCCGTCGGGACGCGGCTGCGCGGCGACGTGCCCGCGGGCGAGGTCCGGGCCATGTACGACGCCGCGGCCGTCGACGCCGCGTGGCTCGAGCCCGCCTGGAGCGCGGGCGACCCGACGGCGGCCCTCGCGGCGCCGGGGCGCTGCCAGCTCGGCGACGACTGGACGCCCTGCGCGCTCCGGGACCGCGTCTGGGTCTCCGACGACACGATGGTCGCGACCTTCGACCTGCCGGACGCGTCGGCGCCGCTCGGCCTGTCCACGTGCGCCTGCGTCCTCGCCCGGGGCGGCGCCGGCGACGACGGCGAGCCCGTCGTGCGGCCCTACACGCCCGTGTCGACGAACGCGCTCGTCGGCGCGTTCCAGGTCATGGTCAAGGTCTACGAGCGCGGGACGCTGAGCCGGGCCCTCGCGGCGCTCGACGTCGGCGACGCGGTCGACTTCAAGCACATCGCCTTCAACGTGAAGATCCAGTTCCCCTTCGGCGCGAAGAAGGTCGGCATGCTCGCGGGCGGCACGGGCATCGCGCCCATGCTCCAGGCGCTCCACGCGCTCCTGGGGTCGACGGACGACAACACGGAAGTCACGGTGCTCTACGGGTCGCGGTCGTCGCGGGACGTGCTCGCGGAGGCGACGCTCGACGACTGGTGCGCCAAGCACGCGCGGCTCAAGGTCGTCCACGTCCTCAGCGACGAGCCCGCGGGCTCGGCGTCGCCGCACGCGCGCGGGCGCATCGACGCGGGCCTCGTGAAGGCCCACCTCCCGCCGCCGGGCGACGACGCGCTCCTCTTCGTCTGCGGGCCGCCGCCCATGTACGACGCGCTCTGCGGGCCCCGCGGCGACGCCGACGCCGTGACGGGCGTCCTCGGGGACCTGGGCTACGCGCCGGCCCAGGTCGTCAAGTTTTAAAGCGCGTCGCCGCCGGGTTCCGGCGCAGCAGGGCGCCGGCGGCCGGCTGCATCCGAGTCGGACCCGGGCGAAATCGAGTGGCCACCCGCCTGCGGACCCCGGCGAGCTAGGCGCCTAGGGAGCCATATGCAAAACTTGAGGGGGGTCGGTGGCGCCCTCGGCGCCCTG